CTTGCTTCAGAAGCTAGGCAAGAATCCTTTCTGGCATTCGGAAAACGAAGAGTGGAACAGGCTAGCAAGTGTGCAGCTGTGCGTCATATGAGAGGCCCCGCCTTACATTTTCCGCCACAGATTTGGGGAAATTGGTCCGTGCGCAAGGCATTGTGGGGATTTGAAGTCTACCCATGTGCAGCCTCGAAATGACCCCCAAACCAAGGACGTGGCCTCGGTGGAATTCCAAGTACGCTGGAGATTGGAACAGTCCTTCGGCGGCACTCGATGACGTAGTATCCTTGAAATATTTGCTTGGAAGCCAGTTTCCTCGCGATTGAGAAACGGCCAGTATCATTGTGGCGCTGATGCAGGGACACAGGAAGGGGGGGGTGCTGAGGGGGCTGCAGCACCCCCATTTGTTGGCGGCGAGTTAGGGTTCGGCGAGTTACTATTTTTGAGTTAGCATTTTAGTGTTAGCAGTCTATAAAAAGCTTCACTATATAAGAGAAAGTGATAATGCAGTGTGCTTCTTCTGTTGCTCTGCTATGGAAAGAAGCTTGTCAGTGCAGATAAGATCAGGGATGGGAGTTTTGTGAAAGCAGGGTTTAACAACTAGCGAAAGGCAGGGGAAACATTTAGGGAGCATGAGAAGTCCCATCAACACACAGGCCGTCAACAAACTGGCAGCATTAAAATGAACACAGATGAATGCACTGCTCTCACAAGCTAAAGACCAAATGACTGCATTTAATATGAAGTTATTATACAGGGCTGCCCCTCCCTACACGCGGATGGGGCCTCATTTTGCGGAGGGAGCCTCCTCTGAAGCGCAAACGCGGCGCACCAGTGTAGCGAGCCACAGTTTCGCCGCTGCGAGGCACCACTAGAACCCCCCACCACACCCGCACCCACAACTCTGACTGACTTCCCGCGTTCCTGCGCCGATGGGCATGTATCCCTATCATACATCTTAATAGTAACACTATTTTGCTAACTCTTTAAGACTCAAACAGCTTCAAATAACACTATATACAGTAAAAAAACATAGCGTGATTCGTGAATACAAGGTTTTGGCAAAAGTCACCATGTATGATTTGAAAGTAGATACTTTAGTGCCACCTGGTGGTAACATCAAGTATGACACTGGAGTAAACAACAACACTAATGTACACAAAAACTGCACCACTTCTCACAAAAGCGTACTTAATCAGAGTGTTTTCGGAAGATGTGGAAGTCACAATAAATAATTATAAAAACACTTTGTTTGTTGATGTATTTTCTAACAACTCCAACTCATTTCTGGGCACCCATGACTGTGTATAAACATAATGTAAATTAATAGGAAATTAGAAATGTCTTTATAGCTTCGTACAACTACATTATAGTGTGTTTTTACCGTGTTATTGCAGAACTGGGTTACTGTTATTGAAACAGACCTTTCATTGTGTAATTCTGTTTTAACGTTGTGATCCTCGCTGAAGGTTTGCTGGGAACATGGACAGAACTGCTGCCAAAAACCTGCTGCTGTCCCGGTCTGATGGGACGTTCCTCGTGCGGCAGAAAGATGGAGGAGAGTTTGCAATCAGCATCAAGTAAGCCTTCGCAGACTCATCAGTGAAAATAATTTCATCCAGTGAAAATGTTACTTTAAGATTGAAGATGCCCTCTTTAGTATTAACTGCTTTGGTCATTTACAGGCCAATGGTTGCTAGGTTAAACCTGCACTAAATTTGGTTTAAAAACTGTATTTTTTAAAGATGTCTCGTTACATGCAGTATCATATTGTTTCAACCCCATTTCAATGATTTCAATACAAAGCAGGTCTTCACCAACATGTTGAAACATAGTAATTGAGATATAGTCGGGGGAAAAAGTCTGTTCGTAACTCTGATTGACCAGTTGACAGAATATTTAGTGTAACCTTATAATCATTTAAAAATACATTTAAAGCTATAGTTCACAAATGTATCTGTGTCCAGCTTCTAAGCAATACAAAATGATTTTTTTTCGAACTTCAATTCAAAGAAACATTATTACAAACAAATCATTATTATTGTCCTTTGAAATGATTGTTGGTTGTCTGTAGCCCAGAAGTCTTTAATCATTGCCTGAACAAACCTAGCGATGTAGCCCAGCTTTAACCTGCATACCGGATGTCACTGTGTTGACATGACATGTCCAAATACATTCTCACACAAATTGCTGGGTTTCTATGAGCCGAAGTATCACTTCCTCTCAAAAGCAGGAAAATACATTTTCTCAAACAAAGGATTATGAGAGTCATGTTTTTTTTGCAGAAGTAGAAAAGTTTTTTTTCTTCTCTCCACAACCTGCTCTTCCAGGTTCAACATGGACATCCGACACATTAAGATCACGTCCACTGACGGCCTGTATCGCATCAATGAGAAGAAAGCCTTCAAGGGAATAATCGTAAGTCTTTCAGACCTAAAAAAGGATGACACTGACTGGTGATAAAACTAAAAACGTACCCTTTACATGAAATCATATTTTATCTTCTTAAACCACATCCAATATTCGGTCTCATATGTTCCTCTCCTTCTCCTCTCCTTCTCCTCTCCTTCTCCTCTCCTTCTCCTCCTGCTTGTGGTCTTCTTCCTGCATTAGGAGATGATTCAGTTTTACCAGCAGAACTCTCTGAAGGAG